GTGGCCGAGAAGGGAGGCAACCTGTCGGTGGGCCAGCGCCAGTTGGTGTGCATCGCGCGCGCGCTCCTGCGTCGGAGTCGGGTCGTCGTGCTGGACGAGGCGACGGCCAACATCGACTTGGAGTCTGACCGTCTCATCCAAAACACGATCAAGGACTGTTTCGACGGCGTCACCATGTTGGTTATCGCGCACCGCCTCGACACGATCCTCGACAGCGACCGCATCTTAGTCATGGACTATGGCAGCGTCGTCGAATACGACACGCCCGGCGCTCTCTTGTCGACTGAAGGCGGGGCGTTCGCTCAGCTTGCGTCACAAGCTCGGCTAGCTCCCTCTCACGAGCTGTAGATATCAGCGCTTACGCCTGAATAGATTTTCCTTCTGTGACGTACTCGTCTGAACATGTCAGTTCCTCCATTACCCTGGCGACATGAAAGCACCATGCAACACGATCAAGTTCCACTGAGCTGTATCGATGGGTTAGCCCCCAACGGCATGCAAGATGCGCTTGAACGACATTTTGGATCGAACGTCGTCCGCGTCGGCATCTCGGCGCGGGCGTGTGCGTGGCGGCGTCTTGCTGTCGCGCGTATCGTGCGGCCATGACGAAGGAGTTGACAAGTCTTTGCAAGGAACCAACTTGGAGATGGAACCCGTCGCGCCGTCAAAGTGCACGACAAGGTCCCCGTGCACAACAACGTTGCTTGGTGCGACGGGCACGTTGTCCTGGGTTAGCGGGTCCTTGCCTCGAACGTGGAAGCACAGAGCCACCTTCACCTGCAAGAGCATGTTGAACTTGCTATCGACTTGGACGACGTCGGTCGAGACAACGAGAAAGCGGTAGCCAGGACAGAGCGCGGCCCACTTGATCCATAGCGCCTCGACACCGCGCCGACCATACACTCCATTGCACTCGACGTCGTTGGTGAACATGTGCGTTGGAGTCGGTGGGCATTGTGACTTGGTGAACTCGGTGACAAGCGCCAGGTAATCCATGAAGCGATGCGTGAGGAACGCATGGTACGTCGCAGCGTGCGAGGGGTCACGAGAGCCAGGAGGGGGTGGCACGGCTGGAGTGGCTAACCGCTTGACCAGGCGTGCCTTCTTCCGCGATCGGCGTTGCGCGTGCACAAGTTGGCGGCGGCGAACGTCCGAGGTGGGCTTGACGGCGGCGACGTGGATCAAATGCGACGGCAGGTACCGCGTGGTCGTCGGCGGGTGCTGAACGCATCGACGCGAAGGACCGAGGGTGCCATAGGGAACCATGGCAAGTTGGAGAGTACGCACGACGTCGGTCGCCCTCGCCGGTCGTTTGGACATTGAAGCTGACCGCATGCGTCGGATGCGAACGCCACTGTCGAGTAGCATGACCCATCGCTCGTGGCCAGGGCGGTGGGACGTCGTGGCAGGTGCTCCGTTGCCCTCGTTTGCGACGGGCAACGAATGGCCAGCTCGATAAGATCGAGGAGCAAGTGGTTGTGGTGCCCCGAGTCAGCGCCAAGTGGTGTCGTCACGGCTGCGGCGACGAGGACGTGGTTACGTGGTCTGGGTCGACGAGTCGGCCGTCCAGCAGCCGTCGGCAGTCAGTTCGCCAGGAGATCGAGCCGTGCAAGTTGTCCGCAGCACGTCCATGCGCTAGAGCTCCTTTCCTTTGGCTGACCACACCCCACGTCTCTCTTCACGACCAAGTTGCACTGGAATCCGGCTACGTAGGAGGGTCCAGTTACAGGGTCGACGAATGTACTTTGCGGCCAAAGGAAGCTTCTCGTGCGAGTAGGCGACGGGAGCATGCCGTCGACAGGCTGGGCTCTGTTCAGCCCATTACGACGACGACTACGCTTTGTTAGCCCCTCGTTCTGTCGTGCAAGTGACCCATGTTGGTAGGAATTGGGAGTGATGTACAGGTCCACGGCTAACTCATCCAGCCATCCCGATGGCTTCAGACGCGACTAGACTCGGCATCTCTCTATCAAAGATGCAATGCAACTGGAGCACGGGGATGACGACGGGCGGTGAACGACATGGCGCGGATCTCACGGCGCGGTCTGTCGCGCGGCGAGGGTCCGTTTTCGCGCATCCTACTGCCTGACACAATGGTCAACTACACGAGATGCGACCAGAGACGAGAAAGGCTGGCGATGTGTTTGCACAACAAAGCAAGAGGTCGCCAGAGCGTATCTGTAGCTTTCAACGGGACTGCTAAGGCCACGTTCGCGTATAACTTGTACGAGGACCTGTCATCCCCAACCACCGCATGTGTCAACGCCACAGAGCGTAGCCAGGAAGGCGCTTCACCCATATCAGCCAAAGGGCGTCGGCACTGGCGGCCGGCCCACCCGTTGCACGCGGCATCGCAGAGGCGACGCGTTGGGAAGACGCGTACCGACGTGAACTGACAGTTACCAATACCAATTAGTCGAGGAAGCGGCGAGCGAGAGCTCTGTGGCGGGCGACTCGTGCGGGCAGTTGCGACGCGCGTGATTCGCCTGGCCTTTTCACGTGACCGCCGCTCGGCCAGGACAAGTTGACGAACGTACAACGTGGGCTTGATGTTGGCGACGTGGATTCTGCGCAATAGTGGAGGTGTAGCTGGGCAGCCGATATAAGGGGTCTGGCGACGAATGAGTCAGCGTTCGATTACGGAGCCCATGCCAAATTGGAAAATGGGGGTAACCCTTCAACAAGATGAAACTCGTGGGAGTCGCTCCTGCGGACTAAGACGGTGGGATAGCGGGGCATGGCGTCATTGTGGCCAGGGCCTAACCAAGCATTTCTCCTGATAAATCGGTTGAAAGGGCATGGCACCACGTTGACAACTCGCAAAGCCCCCATTGCGCCTTTTTTCTCGACATTGGGCACAACTTGCTTGACAAGAATGCCACGTGCATGTGACGTCCAAAGGATGGTCTTGGGCCATTGGCTTTCTCACCGTGCTCACTCAACGGGCCTATCCAAGAATCGTCATTCAGATCGTATGCTGCGTGCTGCGACTACACAGCGAACACACGACTCCCCGCAGGGTCCATGCTCATGGCCAAGCGCAGCCAACGGCATTGCCCATCCAACGTTCCGTCACGCCGCCATCCATGTGGACCCCCAATGCCCGACGTTTTTCTATCCCACACATGCGAAACATTCACTGCCACGAAGCCGAGAATTCTGTGAAACATTGCAGGGAATGGTGCGATCGGTTCCACTACGTGAACCCTCCATACCACAGAGCAGACGAGCACCTTGCACGACAACAGAACGGCCGTGCGTCGCTGCGCCCCGCCGATCGACTGGAGCCACCGCCGAAATAACTATTGCTTCTCGAAACGGCACGAAACTCCACGCAGTCTCCCATCCGAATATTATCCGGATAATCAAAACCACCCGGCCATCCATAGTGAACCCAAGAGAACGGGCAAAAATTATAAAATACGGGAAAAAATGCAATTCTTTGAATTTCGCCATCAACCAAGGACACTATGGTCGCGAACAGCGAAGGTGCCACGGCGACAAACAACGTCGTGGAGGGCGATACGACCGGAACGATCCAAGAGAATCGATCTGCATCGATGCCGCAGTACTGGTGCCACCTGTGTGCATGCAACGTCCTGACTCGATTGAACTCTGAGTCCGACGAAGTCGAGTGCGACAGATGCGGAGGCTGCTTTGTCGAAGAGATTGAAGACGATACGCCAGGACAAGAACGACCACAGGACTTTGTACCGCATGAAGGTTCCGCCAGACAAGACTCCGAATCGCGTCGTCAAGGTAGCAGTGAAGAAGGAACACGTGCTATTCGCGTCACAAGGTCGTCCCTTCCGAATATGATGAACGAAATCTTCCAGGTACCTTCGACGCAACCCTCAAGATGCATGCGGTTCACCAGCCTAAGTAGCTCTCCCGCCAAGGTATATCTAGCAATTCAGACAGGTACCTTCATTATCGCTTCCTCAACCTTGCTCCATTGAGCCCCAGACTGTCCGCTTAGTGCATCCGATGAAGGACGCAGCCGGTTCACGCGAACTCGCTTGTTCACGAGCAATGGTGGACCCGTGGAAGTTTTCATCAACGGCGTGGAGGGATCCGGCGCTGCCGGATTCATGGGAGCCCTCGGCGGGATGTTTCGACCCAGCGGATCTGAAGGTGTTGGCACAACGCTTGGCGACTACGCCTTTGGAAACATTTCCACCATCATTAACCATCTCATGCAGAACGATTCAAGCCAGGCATGCAACTTGCTTGGGTGCCCCTTCGTGGCTGACGCTCTTCGTTGTAGCACGGCGCACCCCCTGCGGCCAAGACAGTGCTCGAGTCACTGCCTAAAGTGCACATTTCGCAGGTACCTTGCGTGGCAAACCTGATGGCACTCACATGGACCAGGGCGAAGTTGATGACAAACACGATTGCGCCGTGTGCAAGGACGTGTACGAGCTGAAAGAAGAAGCCATCCGTCTGCCTTGCTCCCACGATTTTCACACTGACTGCATCATGCCATGGTTGAAGCAGGTTCGTATACGATTTGATCGTAGAAGGGATAGAAGGAATGACGGTCATGCTCATCCTTTTAGCACAACTCGTGTCCCGTGTGTCGATATGAACTCCCGACGGACGATCAAGAGTACGAGACTGCGCGCGCCGCCGCTTCTGCAAACACGCCCGCCAACAGCACGATGGCTAGCTAGTGTCGCGTCGTCGTTGGAGTAGTCTACAAGTCCTCTCATTTATCCAACTATGTAACAAACGTGAACTCAAGATGCCCTGAGCGCACATGTGTCTCGTGCGTTGAAACGCTGGGTCCTAGCGGACACAAGGGACGTGATTGCTTCGCCCTACTGATTTCAGACGCATAGGATCGCAGGATGGCTTCATCTTGTCTCGATGAAGTCCCTAGCGTGCGCATGAGGTCACGACAGGACAGCCTGGACGACGGCCTCCACGTGAGTGTCGTCGTCCATGGTCCACAGACTGGAATTTCATCGGTGAGAAAACCTCTTTAAAAGAATACGGTATGATATAAAATATAGGAGTAATATCCTCGTCGAATGCAGCCCCACCTGAAATCTCCCATCAGTTTCAAGAGATTGCGCGGACGGACGAAGGATGGAAGGTACTTGGGGAGTGTCGGCGCCTGGTTCCCATACTTGCTACGTGTAGTGGATGGCGACATCAATGCGGTGACAGTCCTTGTGGACGAATTGCGCCATGAAGACCCCAAGCTCCGCCTTCAAGCGATCAAGAAAGTGCAAGTGATTGGTGCGTTAGTCCCAACCTCGTCGGTTGCCTTGTCGTTGTCAAGTGTAATGGTACCATGTAGCGTCCGCCTTGGGACCCCAACGAACAAGGGAGGAGCTTCTTCCTTTTCTCAATGGTGATGCATGCATGCACGTTTGGTCCTACAGCTTGTGATTCTCATCGTGATCCAGAAACGATGGACGACGACGACGAAATTCTCTTAGCGCTTGCCCAAGAACTCGGTGAGATTGCAATCATTGCAGGAACACAGCTTATATAGTCCAAGGTGAATTCGTCGACCTTGTGGGCGGCGCACTGAATGCGTATCACTTACTTTTTTTGCTTGAATCCCTCGTTGCTGTGGACGAAGCTTCCGTTCGTGACACGGTGGGCGGTCCATCTTTGCACGGCGCCGTCTCATGGTGCCATCTTCCCAGGCATGCAAGTCCATGTGCAAGGTCGTTCGGCAAATGACCCCCGAGCATATCTCGGAGCACTTCGTTGCAGTCGTGCGCCGACTCGTCACTCGCGAATGGTCCGTCGATCCCTTCACGTCACCACGGTTTTAGACCTTTTCACGTCGGCATTGCACAGGTACACATCCCGCATTGCCGCCAGCGGGCTCTTCCAAGTTTGCTACGACCAGCTGAACCCCGCTACTCAAGCCGAGATGCGTTCCATGTTCATACAGCTGTGTCGAGACGACCTGCCGTTAGTCCGTAAAGCCGCCGCAGCGGCGCTCGGTGGGTTCGCTTCCATGGTACTCCATCGTATAGCTGTCCCTTCCTCATCCACCGTCACCTTAGATGGACCCAGCGTCCGCGACGGCCGAGATTTTTCCAGACTTTCTCACGCTCGCCAACGATCGACAGGACTCTGTTCGCTGTCAGACTGTAGAAAATGCCGTTGCGCTCGCTGGATTGGTCCCTGTCGACGTCAAGCTCAACCAGGTGCTTCCTGTCATAGTCGCCGCCGCCAAGGACTCCGCATGGCGTGTGCGGTGGTCTGTCGGCAACAAACTGCCAGAGATTTGTGCGGCTATGGGTGCCGAACTCGCCACATCCGTGATTTGTACGGTGCATTGCGAACTGAGCGATTCTTGTTGATTCTAATCCACATACGGCAATAGGCGATCAGTGCTTTATTCCCCTCTTGGGTGACTCGGAGGCAGAGGTCAAGACGGTTGCTGCGTCAAGAGCTCACGGCGCCGCGCAGCATATCAGTCCAGCCCAGTTGATCTCGAAAGTCGTGCCTGCATGCGCTCACTTGGCCCGCGACCCGTCCGAACACGTTCGCGCGTCGCTCGCATCTGTCGTGATGAAGATTGCTCCCTATTTGGGACGCGAGTTGGCTGTCCAGCACTTGTTGCCGCTCTTTCTTCAAGTATGTGATGTTTGCTTAACTCGAGCCTGATGGTCCTGCGGTTTCGACGTAGCTACTCTCGGACGAAAGCTCGGAAGTGCGCCTCAACATCATCTCGAACTTGGAAAAGGTCAACGATGTGGTGGGCATCGACCAGCTGTCCCAGTCTCTCTTGCCCGCCATCGTCCAGCTTGCCGAAGACCGGCAGTGGCGCGTTCGTTTGGCCATCATTGAGTTCATCCCGACGTTGGCTTCACAGCTCGGTGTGCTCTACTTTGAAGAACATCTCATGGAAATGTGCATGGGGTGGCTGTGCGACGTGGTCTTTTCGATCCGCGAAGCTGCCACACTCAACCTCCAGCGCCTTGCGCAGCATTTTGGCGTGGCTTGGACACAAAACCATATCGTTCCTCGCATTGTGTCAATGCACGTGAACGCTAACTACCTCTACCGCATGATCTCGCTCCATGCAGCCAAGGTGTTGGCGCCACTCTTGACGAGTGACCAAATCCAGCAATCGATTCTCCCGCTTGTGCTGCAACTCGCATCGGTGCGCCATCTTTGTGTGTATATGGCGGCAACCGACCTGAGTGATGCTTTTTTTCTATGTAGGACCCGGTGCCCAACATTCGATTTAACGTCGCCAAAGCCCTAGAGACAATGTCAGGACAGCTAGACAGTGCCGCCAAGGAAGCGCACGTTGTTCCAGCACTCCACACGCTCACGAATGACCCGGACGGCGACGTCCAGTACTTTGCTGGCCGCGCGCTCCACCTCCTCCAGCAGCACTAATGATGTTTGCCCGCGCACAGTCAGTCGATTGTGTTGAGGAATAGATAACGTTGACATAAGTATGCAGAATGGATGAATAAATGATCATTTATTAATCAGCACAATTTTAACAACGTATTGTCCTCGAGACAAGGTATATAAATGATAAATGAATCGAACAAATAAGAAATAGATAATGATGTGCACATAAATAAGGACTTGTCGAATCACGAACGGTGGGGTGTCGCCGGTGCTCCAGCAGACGAACAAGATGAAGACGTGGGGGTGCAAGACGACGGAACGGACGAGACAAAAATGGAGCGGGCCATGCAGAATGGGGTAGACGAGGACGAGGCAAACGAGCATGGCGCTCCAAGGGTTCGGGCAGTTGACCCGAATGCTGTGAATGTAAAGCGATTGGTTTCATTGTGAACGCCGGTGAACTGCACGACAGATGATGCTGATCGTGCAGTTGCATCGTCGGCTTCCATGTTCAAGCGTATACGCTTTTCAACGCGGGGGCTATCGCCTAGACAAGCTTCAGACATCGAGCGAAGTTAGTAGCCGCCAGCATACCGTTTGAGTCTAAGGTGTCCCTGCGCTTGCGCTCCACTGGAGCCGTCAGACACGACGAATGCAAGTCGAAAATGGAGTCGCATGGGCCGTGTCCCGGGCTGCTTTCGTGGTCGATGGAGATGCAAAGGTTGGATGGCACGTCCCAATCGTGGACAGACCCAGTTGGTGACGCCGTTGTCGCACTGTCAGGTCCCAAACGCGCATGAGCGTGAAACATGATAGACGAGGAGTCCAGTTCATCTTCGAGGAACGTATTGAGGCCACGCGCCATCGCATTCCGAGGGGTCAAGACTGAGATTCCGTCCATGATGGTGGTGTAGTCTGCTTCGGGCGGAAAAAACCGAGCTGGAATTTGCTTTACACATTGAAACTGACAGTTTACTTGATGTTTGTATGGTATTCAGTTTGGCGTCAAATCACCGTAAGTACCTGTAAAAAGCTATGTTGGCGCTCGGGCAAGGTACGCTGCTCGTCCCGCCAGATCACGAGTGCAGCCACATTTAAATGATGCGTAGAGCGCGCAACATTACACAGGAGGACCACGTCGGAGTGAGAGACCGCACCAGGCGATGGCGCACCAGACGAGCCACGCCATGTTCAAAAGTTTCAACGCCTTCGGAGGAATCCATCCACGAGGGGCCTTTTTCAATACGAATAAAAATATTCCCATTCAATAATGAATGCAAATTCGATTCGAAACCAATGAAATAAATCGTAATGCGGGCGACAAAAGGAGGTGTGAGTCACACCTTTGGGACCCGTGAGACAAGATTCATCTACGCGACATGCAGCCGTCTAGGCTTTGCTCGCCAAGGATCGCTGTGCATAGCTTGTGTCCTGAATGAGCGCGCTCTTTAGCTGCCAGGGAGTGGCCGCTCATCCAGATGTGCATGGCATGCTCGTGATGGTTGCCAGAGGAATCTGACTCGTTCTCAGATCGCCCGCCATTGAACTCCCAACCACTCGCTGCACAGGCTGTGTGCAGCGAGCGACACACAGCCAGCCACGGTGAAAACGGGGTTGGCACAACAGACACGCCAAGGAGACAACCAACCATCCCTTTCGCGATTCAGAGCAGCTGTGGCAGTGTTTACGGTCGTGTCGTGCGAGTTGAGAGGCCAGCCCCAGGGGTCAAGATGTCGGTCGGCTGCGCTTGCAGACCGAGGTTGCTCCTCTCATCGACCGCACTCTTGGAGCATTGTGGTCGTCGTTGGAACGGATGTCATGTTTGGCTCTGGGCGACGGACTTGCTCACAAGTGAATGCTTGGAGGCTGGGTCGTCTCGGCGAGTACGATGTGTCGAGTACGATTTCACGACGTAACTCGTCGACCTTTGTGGAGCTGTTGTATGATCCATTCTAGCAGATTGTGTGAACGAGATCGAAAGTATGCGACGATTGCTATAACGTCAAGGCCGCGCGCCACATGAGCAATGCATCGCGTTTCGCCGCCTAAGCCCCACCCTCACACAAATCGTTGGTGAAGCAGACCTTGTTGACGACGAGGTGGCCACCCCACAGCCGGCAACGAGTTATTTTTTCCAGCGATTTTTCAATCACCCACACACCGCACGAAACGATTTCTTCGCTATCTAATTGTCCGGGAGCGGGCTCTGGGATGCTGCGATGGGACGCTGCACACGTGCACTGCCAGGGAGCCCTTGCTTGACGCACGGAGGATTTCAGTCTAGTCAACCACGTTGGACAATTTAAACTCAAGCGACGACGATACATGAGGGGCGTCGTCAGCGCTCGAGTACACGCCGATGCCCATGCTTGGTGTGGTAAACGCAGCGAGGAATTCGAGGCCATCGTCAGAGGGCTAAGGTGTAAGTGAGTGGAAGGATGGAGAGGTTGACTGTCGTACAAGTCGGCGCTTCTTTGTCGATGAGCCCTTGTTTCCAGGCGAAACAAAGCCAATCACGCCGCCTTCAACCGGTACGTCGCCATTGGAGGTTTTGGCATCTTGAAAAGCTTCACTAGTGAACGCATCAGGTGGCTTGTTTCGACTTTGGAACACTTGTACTGGATGGCATCGTGAAGGACGCGACGGTTCTCCGACATGGACGACATTTGCCGCTCCATGTGTTGAAGTAGAGATCCTTGCACAATATGCTCTCCGCGACCTAAAGAGATGAATTTCGGAGGAGGTAGGTGAACGAAGATGATACCAGTCGCGCTGAACGCAAAGGCTGGTCGCGTGCTCGAACTGTTGGCCGCACAGCATCCCATTCGAGGACACCCTGCATGGCCGACGCGGCCTGGCCTCTTCAGCGCGATGCCAGCGCTGGAAACTGCCGCGACGGCAAGCCCCGCACTGTCCAGACAAATCGCTCCAACTGTGTCCAACGAGCCATTCAACATGTGCTTGGTTGCATGGTCGCGATGCTGTGCCAACGCGTTGGGGTGGACAGGTTCTGTATGATAGTCGATAGTGGCAAGGTTGGCGAGCTTCGCCTCAGCCAGCGCCCCCCTACCGACGAGGAACGACGGAGGCTGGCGATCAGTGGCAGAATGCAGTCCGGACTGTTGGCAACGGAGGAGATGGACGGCCAGAGTAACAGGATTGCGCACGCCCTCCACCGCGCCGCAGCATCCGATGGCATTGGTCGCGCCACTCATAACAGATGCATCCGTTTCTATTCTGCCTTGTGTTGTCAGGCTCACATGAGGCCCATTGCCCCCAGCGTTGGTGCACGCAGCATTCTCCAGCTCAACCACGGCACGTTGACAAGCTGACAGCGCGTCACCTCCGCACGAAAGTACACTTGCAGCTGCCTCCAGCGCGCGTCGCATGCACGCATTGGCTTCTTCGACCGCTGCTTCCGCCGTGTCGTGCCGGCCTGCACCAATGTGCAATGCAATA